TGTAACAATATCTAACATCTAATTAATATTTGTCTAAAATATCAATACAATTTTTTATCGCAACAGACTTTTTTAATTTGCATTGAACAGTGTTGGCATTTCGTTTGAACATTATCGTTAGTTATTCACTTGTTCTGTATTGAAACAGACAAAGCCAATATCGTTCTTTTTTCGATATCATATTGCAGCTCATACGAAACAATATATTCAACTTTCTCTATAGACAGAATATACACATACAATCATATTCTCCTTTTACAAAAGTGTAAGAGTCGGATTAAACGATCGTTTTTCATAACTATCGACTGGATATCACTGCAAATAATGTTTTTTTTATCGGTGAGTGTTCTATTTTCTCACGTTATCACGATGCCATTATTTATTCCTTCGACTTCCTAGAATATGTCAGTCGTGCGAAAATAATATCCGATGTTGCGTTAAAATTGATTAAATAATAAAAAGTTTAACAAATATTAGACTATGTTACCATTTAGCATCGCTTGACGTTCTATCAAGTGATTCAAAATAGACTTCAGGTACTATAGATATATTATAATTATTTTTTTTTTAGTTTTCATGACACTGAAAGCTATTTGTTTTCTTTGAAAGAATAAAAGTACCCACTACTTCCATCCAACTGGATATTTCTTATGTTAATCGATTGTAATGGTCTTTGTGCGTCACTTCCTCCCTTATATTTGATGAAAGAGTATCTTTCAAACTAACTATTTTTCGATTTGTTAGATAAAAATCGCTGAAATTAAATGGCAAAATATTTTCAATAAGAATTGACGATCGTAGTGTAATTAATTTGTTATACTTTTTGCTTCTTTATTATTTTCTTAATTTTTATCGATGTATTCACTTAAAGCATGTTCCATCTTGATGTAATGGTGTTCAATCAACTTCTTTTATGGCACTTATCGGTATCATTCGTAATTAATTCAACCATATGTGCATTACATCATTAGCTATGTGAATTCGTTCTAACGGCAGCAAAAAATCCAAAGAATTTGATTTTTCTATGGAAAAAAAGGGCTCTGAAGCACCGGATATCAGTAATTTTTTTCCATAACAGATTGAGGCCTGGAGATTCATACTGGTATCGTGTATCTTTTGAAGAGCGTCAAATACAAGACGATCTAGTGGAGCAGCAAGATTATGTTCCGTCTACAACGGAGATGCGAATATCTTCAATTCTAATTATCTTGCGTCAGCCCTGCATATCCATGATGCATGAGTCACATTTCTTAACAGAGAGCTTTAAATTTATAAAAATAAATGTTTCTATTCAAAGGTTTCTAATGAAAATAAGATTTGTAAGTCGAAATATATCTATTTAACTTAAAATTAATATCAATTTATTAAACATTGCAATATAGATTGTGTATTGACTTTTAATCTTTAGTCTTTTATATGTGAATTGTTAATATATTTATTTCTCTTCTTGATATTCACTTATGCAATTTGGATAGAAATCATTTTTAACAACACATACATACGATATGTAGCGTCGAATAAGAATCTATTTTAGATGAATATAAATTTCATAATACTGAACTCTTCTTATTAGTCACTAGCTGAGACTTCACATGGAACGAGCTTCTGTTTACATTATGTATTAGTTTAGTTAGTATCTGTTAACATTTTATAATGTATAACACAATGAAAATAAATAGTATTTAAAAGAAAAGAAATTTATATTTTTCTTTGCAATGACGATTTGTGTCTTTCACATTATAATAAAAGTATCGATCAAGACAAATTAAACTGAATTGAAAATTTATCTCATGTCCTAAGACATAAAATACTTGGCTTATTTTTAAAAAAATGCAACCTAGCTTAGAAAATCAATGTTACTTGTACAATAAGAGAAATATTGATGCACTTTATACAATTATTCGACAAATAAACCAAGTGAATAAAAAAAACAGTTTAATATGTACCAAACAAAAGTTGATTTATGTTAACTCCATCAGAGTATGTACAGATAATCAATTATCGTAAAGCAATAATGAAATACACTTGTGTAACAATGATAAAATAAAAATTTATCTATTTATCTTTATTTTGATTGATTTATTAAATATCAACTGTTGGATGAATTCACATAGATATCTTACGAGAGCACCTTCCCGAATGCTAAAAAATTTTTGAGCTGAAATTTTGTCCACAAGTAGGATGATGTATAGACTAGTGACACTCTGAGAGGACATAGACGCAAGTTGTAATCTGTCTAAGATATCAACATTTTCCTATAATTTTCCTGCAGAACTCCACTTTTGCAGTAAAATCAACTTTTTGAATTTTGATCTAAGACTTTACTCGTGCCAAGACTTCTGTCAGACGAGCCTGCTTACAATGTTTTAGAGTTTTTGGACGAATTATCTTCAATATGCTAGTATGTTAGTTCAAGGACGTTTTTTTTATGGATATTTTGAAAAATTCATACGTCTGAGATAATTTGTTCAAAAAATCTGAAATTCTATAAGCAGGCTCGTTTGGTAGAAGCTTTGGTATGGATAAAGTTCCAAATCGAAATTCGAAACGTTGATATCTACCACAAAAGTGGGATTCTGCAGAAAAATTATAACAGAATGCCGATATCATAGCCAAATTACAACTTGTGCTCATATCCTCCTAGGCTTTTTCTACTCTATACATCATTCTACTTGTGAATAAAACTTCAGTTCAAAAGCTATTTAGTACCTGGAAACATTCCTTCGTTGGTAGAGACAGTGTATTATGAACAGCACATTAAATTTCTTTGAAAAATAAAACAACCATTGGGTAGTTTTATTTATTTAAAAATTTGTTACAAGTCTAACAAGAAATACTTTATAGTTTTTTTTTTTACAAAAACAAATATCTTCCTTTTTATCCATTGGTTCTTGCCCAAAATTTAATTATATCAGGAATATGTTCTTGTAATAGACTAATGCTTGTTTGTTCACGATTTTTATCAGATGCTTCTTGTGTTTTAATAGTATTTTTAAGATAATAATCTTCATCTTCTTTTCGAATTAATCGCCAGTCAGGATTGATAGTACTTGAAATTTTCATTTCTCGACCACCATTCAATACAACACCACTTTCAATAATACGTCCATAAAATTCACTTTGAATATCCGGTAGTTTTCGTGTAAGTGCAGTTATTTCTTCGAGTTTACCAATGATTACTTTAGGTGGAGTTTGTGTTATCAATGGGCGACTTTGTGTTAATACAACATAAGATACTTCTATAAGAATGATAAATAATGTTTTCAAACATGTACTACTGTGAATAGTATTACCTTTATTTTGATCGTGAGTCGTACGTACAAACATACGACCAATACCAAAATTTTTTAGTTTTGAACATAATTCCGGTAGAGTATTGCCAAATGACAAACTAATTTGTCCAATAAACTGAACACGTGGCATCTGAAGAAATGAAAGAAAAATTGTTTCTGTCTGCTTGAATCATTATCCTGTCCTCTTTTATTTTTTATTTTATTGAAAATAACAACAATAAATGTTGACGGATATAACAAAGAAAAAATCGTGTGTTTAAGCAGACCAAATAATAATAATAATAATATTCTTGTTTTTTTCCTTTTTTTTTTTGATTACGGTTTATATTCGACTTCTTCTGTTTTAATAAGAAATTCAACAACTTCTTCACCAACATTCGATGCTTGTTGTTCAAATAATGAATCTGTATCAACACCACCACGTAATTGAGCACGTTGTTGTTTTTGTATAGCCAAACGTTTTACATTTTTCTCTTTGAGTCTTTGAAATTCATCAAGTTGTTTTCGTCGTTGTTCTTGTTGTTTAGCTGATTCACCGGTGCGCAAAATTCGATCGCGTTGATCTAATTTTGGTGTCCATACAGTTCGATTTCGACGAACTTCCTACACATTTCATAAGAAACAAAATATATTTAGAAAAAAAAAAACAAATCATTATTTATTATTTTCTTTCTGACTCGAATCATATCTTCTGTAAGCAATGATGGTGGTCGAGGACGCCAATGAAATGCAACCAATCTTTCGACAGACTTTTCAAATACCAAATTACCTTGAAATGTCCAAATTTTAAATGAATGATCACGCTAATTCAATAAAAAAAGAAACTCAAAATAATATAAAAATTAAAATTTAATTAATTATACTTTAGCATTCCATAAGGTAACATATGATGTTACATAACGTCCAGTTGGATCCCATTCAACATCAGATAAATCAGGATGTTCTTGTTTTGACATTATTGACATATCATTGGCGTCAACAAATATTAATTGTCCACCAGCTGATTGACTAAAAGATAAAGAGAAAAAAAAAACAATAAGAAATATATTTAATAAAGGAATTGCTTCAACTGATATCCACTATTTGAGCTCATATTACTCCTGCAAGGATGCCTTGATAAGACTAGTAAAAGTCTAAAAGGGTTTGTTCCTATAGGCCAAGTCATAAAATTGAGTTTACTTGAAAATAGAATATCTCGACAAAGGTATATTCTATTGGTTATTCAACCTATTTATGGGCGAAATTGCAGGTTCAAATACAGCTATTTGATTTTCCGGTAAGTTTATAAAACTGGATCGAAAATTTAATACAACGGTCATAATTCGACTGCAAAGATCCATAGAAACAAACTTTTTAAGGCTATTTCTAGTCTAACCGAGACCCAATATGAGCTCCAACGGCCGGTATCAGTTCGGGCAAGTGCCTTCGAAAGAAATCATCAAATATACCCAGTTTTCATTGCTGCTAAAACAACATATTGACCATTTGGTGCCCAAATAGATGTTGTTACTGGTTGTGTCATTACTTTAAGTGGTTCAATTTTTCCACTTTTTTGTCCTTGACCCATTTTATAAAATGTAACATTAGTTCGTAAATTTTCACCTGTAATTACAACTAATTTATGTCCGACTGGTTCAATAGCAAATGACTGAATCATTTCTACGAAATAAACAAGAAATATTATATTAATATAAATGATATTTTAATTATTTTCTTTTTACCTTTGACTTCTAATGTATCTAATGGAACATTTTTTTCACGCATATGAAAAATTTCAAAATTATAAATTAAACCCTATCGATTATAAAAATATAAAGATTAAATATTGAAAAAAAAAAGGCAAAAACTTAAAAATTTACAGAATATTTTGGATTATTTTTTTCTCCACTCTTTTTTGTATATCGATCAACTTTAACAACAAGATAATCACCACGTTTTTGCCAACATAATTTACAATCGATAACATTAAATAATGTCTATAACGAAAAATAAAAAAAAAAAGAAAAGAAAATTATTGTAAAAACAAAACATTCATACTTTCGATCGAACTTCTTCTAATCTAACACCATTAACTTCTGCAAGTACTAAACGTGCTGGTACATTTCCATCTTCAGCTGTCCAATATGCAAGACGATTATCAGTAGGTGACCATTGAAAATCAGCAAGTGATGGAATTTTAAATGGTTTCTTATCAACTAATTGAAAACTCTAGAATAAAAATCATTTTTTTTATGTTTGTTTGTTTTTTGACTATTGAAATATTTCTTTACTTCTCTATCATACATGTAGATACCATCTGGACCTTGTTTAGCAAAATATTGATCTTGAAAAGACCATCTAAATATAATAAAAATTATTGTTTTCTTTTTTTTTTTGAAAATAATTAAACAAAAAAAAACAAAGTCAGTTAATCGCTTCGCCAGTTATGTCATAGCATAAATATTTTAAGAAAAAATGATTATGCATTTAACTCGGCCTTTTCATTTCATCATTCTTTGTTTTATTTTAAATTGATTTATGATAAAATAATATTTACTTGAAATAAGATGGACCTTGTGAAGAATGTTGATCAAGAGGAAATGAACGTTTTTTTTGTCCTGTTATTATATCCCAAATAATAAATGCTTCAGGATTATTTGGACGTGGTGATATTGTTACTAAATAACGTTCACCTGGTGAAAAATCAATATAATTAACACCACGATGAGCAAATCTAGAGAAAAAAAAAGAATTGTTATTATTTATATTATTTTATTGTTTTACAAAATAAAAGACAAGCCGATTTTCTCGTCCCTAAGATACTTCGATTTTTAAACTATTAAAATAAAGTTGCTGTTGACTTTATTTGAACATAAAAAATCGAAATATCTTAGAAGCAAGAAAAAGACCTTATCTACTCATGTCATTTTGTAATATCTTAATACATACCGTTGTACTTGACGAAATTCTTTACCACCCCAAAAGGCAATACCTTGTTCATGAAATGATGCTAAATAAGTACCTTTTGGTGACCAAACAAAATTATTCTCTGTCCATTTCTAATTAAAATAGAAATGAATAAGTAAGAAAAATAAATTACAATAATATTGAAATATTTTACATTTCGATCTTCAAGAACAATTGGTTGTGATAAAGCATTTGAATAGATAGTAGTTTTTTTTGGATCATCTGATTGAACAGCAAATTGATCAACAGCATCAGGTTCAGCTAACCAAGAAAATAAATTACCCTATTGAAATTAACAAAAAACATTATTCAATGAAAAAGAACACAAAAATCGAATAAATATCCATACAGTATCAATAGGTTCAGGTGGAACTTGTGTTAATCTAAAATAAATTATCGAATTTTTTATTTTATTTATTTATAGAATATATTCTTATACCGATCAAAATCCGACATTAGATTGACAGAAAATGTATGATTTTTATCTAAACGATAACCATCAGTTTGTTTAACTGCTTCTATAGCCATCTGTTCATTTTGAAATTCAAAAAATCCATAACTATTTTGATATAAATAATTAGACAAAAAAAAAAATTATTTTATAAAAATCAATATTTACCCTTTTGTTTTTCCTTCTTCATCCAATGGATAATATTCATTTCGGCATACACCAAATTTACTATAGACTTTGGAAATAACTGCTTTTAATTTTTCAAGCTTTACTTGATCAACTTTTGGTAAATTATCAACCACAATAATATTATTAAGACTTTCGTGTTCTTTCGGACGTTCAGCCATTAATTCCGGACAGAGTACTGATAACAAAAAAATAAAAAATAAATTCTTTAAAAACTAGAAACTTTTACCATCATCAGGAAAATCTGCTCCATAATCCTCATCAGAAAAATCAGGCGTTGGTTCAACTTCTTCTTTTCCCTTGAATAATAAATGAATAAACAATATTTTATTGTTTTGTTTAATAAAACAAACCTCATCTTCATCTCCTTTCGTTTGATTTTCATCATCATCATCATCTTCTTCTTCTTCTTCATCACCAGACTGTTCATTATTATTAGCAGGCGAATTATCATCGAATTCATTGTTTGACTGATCTGCATGTTGTTGTTGTTGTTGTTGTTCACCACCAGTACTGTCATTGTCGAATGGTTGTTCAGGCATGATGTTGGTTTTTTTGTTATTGAATAAGAAAATGTCTATAAGAATAAATAGAAAGTAATATATGCTGGGTTTATATATTCAATTAGATGAAAAAGAATTATGCAAAAGAAAATATATTGCCATTGTTTATTTTCAATTGCCAATCGGAAAATACAGATTTTCGTCTTGTCTTTATTGGTGACTTCGATCAACACATGTTAGAGGGCTCTGTCAGTCAGTCATTCAATGTTTAAAATAAATCAACTATAGATATCGCTACTATACTATAGTTTAAAAATCTTATACAATAGAAAATTTCCCGTATTGTATTGAAGCAAAATCTATTTGATATTTTGTGCATTTACTATTGTAATTTTATAGAAATTGAAACAGTTGAATTTTATCTTGTTCATTTCATGAAATTGAAAAATCAAGTTATAGAAAAAAAATCACTTGTTAGAAAATTTGCGTCATTCTCACACTGATTATCATGGCAATGTTCTTTCTGCTGTACAAGAAATTTTATCTTGTTCTATTGCCAAAAAAAACCAGCTTCATTTCACGTTGCTTTGAAATTTGCTCTAATTCCGACTTGCCGTTTTCAAACCGTTAGTTTAGATTGTGACATTTGGATGTGGGTGTGGATGTGCGAGGTTCATCTGTCCATACGCACCCATACCTAGTTAATAGATCAGGCCTGGCTGATATAGTTTGGAAAATAAATGTTGACGCATTGCCTTATTATTCGAGAATATTTCGATAAATTCATTCGATTCGAAGCACAAATGCTTGAACCGAACACCAATTACTTTGACTGACAGAAGAACTTTTTATATTCAAAAAATTTGATAGTAATGTCCTTGCCTGTTATTATAAGTATTACTTATTTCTACATTTTTGTTGTAGGCCTGATCATATGTTGTTCTACTATCATGATTAGATTTTGTTCAACGTAATCAAAAACATTTGCATTAATGCAAGTCTTTCTTGTAAGAAAAATATTAGTGATTGTTTTTTTCTTTGTTT